AAATAAATAAATCTTTAAAGCAAATAAACGTGGGCTGGAGAGATGCTCAGCAGAGAAGAACATTTGTTTGTAGCTGAAGTTTTCTCCAGTCCCTCCTGGCCCACGGTCAGGACAAATCTCTCTCACCCGCCAGTCCCACAGCCGATCAGACCCAACCAAGTAAACACAGAGACTTATATTGCTTACAAACTGCATGGCTGTGGCAGGCTTCTTGTTATCTAGTTCTTATATCCTAAATTAACCCATTTCTGTTCATCTATAAGTTGCCACGTGGCTCATGACTTACCGGTATCTTAACATCTTCTCATGGAGGCGGGTGGCAGTGTCTCCCCTTCAGCCTTCCTGTTCCCACAATTCTCTTCTCTGCTTGTCCCGCCTATACTTCGTGCCTGGCTACTGGCCAATCAGTGTTTTATTTATTAACCAATCAGAGCAGCATATTTAACATACAGAACATCCCACAGCACACACAGGACCCAGGTTTGGTTCCCAGCACCCACACAGTGGCTCACAAAGTGTGTATTTCCAATTCCAGGGCCCCCATCAGTCTCTTCCGGTTTCCACAGGCAGTAGGCACATATGTGGTGGACAGATACACATGCAGCCAAACACCTATATACATAAAATAAAAATCAATAAATCTTGGAGCTGGAGAGATGGCTCCATGGTTAAGACTGCTCTTCCAGAGGACCTGGGTTCAATTCCCAGCACCCACGTGGCAGCTCACAGCTGCCTGTAACTCCAGGATCAAACACCTTCACACAGACATACATACAGGAAAAACACCAACACACGTAAATTAAACAATAAATAAATAAATCTTATTTAACCGATTAAAAAAATAAATGCTTTCTGGGTGGTGATGGCACAAGCCTTTAATCTCAGCACTCAGGAGGCAGAGGCAGGTGGATCTCTGAGTTCGAGGCCAGCCTGGTCTACAGAGTGAGTTCCAGGACAGGCACCAAAACTACACAGAGAAACCCTGTCTCAAACAAAACAAATAAACAGACAAAATAGTTCACTAGACATTCCATTTGGGCTGAAGGTGTAGGTTAGCAGGAAAGCCTGTATGTATGTAGCATGTGTGAGGTCCTGAGTCACCTTCCTGTCACCGGAAACTAAGAAGAAGACAAAACAAAACCACTACCCAGATGCCCAATTACATTTAAATTTCAGATTGACAGCAAATAATTTTAGAGCAAAAAAAAAATTATTGCAAATATTGCATGAAATACACCTGCTAGTATTCTGACCCGCCCCTTGGAGACCCGCCCAGTGTCCTGACATCATCTTACGTTAAAGCTCCCTTAAGAGGAAAAACTCCATCCCTCTCCCTTCTCGCCAGAGGTAGTGCATGCCTCCCTCC